ATATATGTATATATATATATGTATATATATATATATATGTATATATATATGTATATATATATGTATATGTATATATATGTATATATATGTGTGTGTGTATAAATATCATAAATAAATACCAAAATTAAATTTTCATCTTAAGAAACGAGATTGCTTACTACTGTTGGCCATGACAACGTTTATAATTATTTCAAAATACAGGGAGTGTGAATCAAACATGCTGTCGTGCATTATGAATGATTTCTAGTGAATAATGACCGTGTGTACGTACTAAAACAGAAACATACGCTACTTCTACTTGTACTAAAGCGTAGCTGTAACATAAGTATTTGAAAAGACATTCATGGAAACATTTCTTTGGTACATAAAAACCTCATTTTATGTATTCGTTTCGCTAATAAAAAACTGTATTCTGTACTTGGCAGGTTGGAAATGAATCCCATTAGTTCAGAGAGTAACTGAACAAGACAGAAAAAAAGTCCTAAGATCGAAAAGAATTACATCATCTGTCTAGTTGCAGTTATGAATCCTAGCTGTAACGAAAAAACCCACAAAAACTCACCCGTGGTATTTTTTGAAAAACAGCGCAACATTATTAAAGAAATATATCATCTGAAAATTCTGGCCTCGAAAGCTTTTCGATGTTTTGATTCTGTCCCCAATTCGAAATAGTCATGGCAAACTGCTTAGTACCTTGTTTTGTCAAATCCTTTTCAATTTATTTCGTCTTTTATAATAGTATGTACTTCATCCCACTACATTTTTTCCCTCAGTGTCTTACACAATTTGTCTTTACCGAGTTGTAACATGCTACCAGTAGGTACCTCAGTGCACAAGTACACAAGAGGGAATGAAACCCCCCACTTTATATTTGGCTACTTTCCAGCCAGTTAACAGCATCTCTGTATTCGCACTGTCTCAAGTGGATGACATGTGTATACGGCGCACTTCTGATTTCCAAACAACATCGAAACTTTTGCTCTACAGGGGTCGCAATACAACTTCCAGCTCAGTGCTTCCACCCAGTTATTTTTAGCGGGAGCGAAAAAATATTCCGACGGCAGATGCAAAACACTTGGCTCGTGTCCCGCGGCGCGGGGCGCCCTCTCTGGAACTTTCGGGAACTGTCCTCAAGCGGCGCCTCGCGAGCGCCAACTGTCCTCAGAGTCCTCAAGGTGGAGAGCGCGCAGGGCTGGACACAAGTTGTGTCGGTCGTTCTGTGATTTTGAGGGGTTTCTAAATTACGTCACTTGACAAAAACGTCGTTACCATTAGAATTAATTCGAGTAGTGTTAATAAAATCATTAGATGAATACCGTCTAACATCGTAAGTAATTTTCCTTTATCCTTTATCAAATCAAATCTCAAGAATGTATTAATATAACAACTAAATAAGAGCAGGTGCCATTCCGTTTTAAAAAAGATTTAGTATAACGCCGAAAAATTGTACATTATTTCTTATTAATTGACAATAATTTATCAAAAGAAATAAAAAATAAATAAGCTATAAAGCACGTTAACTGCTACGGTCATAATTTTTCCTGCATATGCATATTTCCTGCAGTGCATATTTTTTCCTCACCTCTTACGTACACACACACTTACATACATGTTATACCCAAGTACGCGGGTTCAAACCCGATCGAAGCCGTGCAATTTTAGGGCGAATAAATCCTTCGTAGGCCTTCCTTCGGAGGGGAAGTAAAGCCAGTTGTCCCATGTTAGTGGATTTACTGCATGTAAAAGATGCTCAAGCCCAAATGAAGTCTCAGAGATAAATTCAAATCACCTCTTTCGTCGCTCAAGAAATACATGCTTTCTCTGCTAGTTCGTGAAAGGAGCGTAGCTAAATTTGCGTGGTCAGACGGAAGAGCAGGCCTGAGTCTCACCACCTAAAAGAAGGCTTTTCAGAATTCAATTCAACTAAATACAAATGTCGGGACACCAGTCGGGATGCATAGAGTTTGACTCGGCTAGGGTGGTGTCATTCTGATGGGAGACACCTGGTTGGGAAATCAGGTAAGCCGATGTAGGTCAGCGTCGGGTCTCGCCATCCAGTGGTGGAAAATCACAGCCTCCTTCTCTATAAAACATACCCTACATTTACGGGAGTAATTAGTTTGACGCGCCTCGAATTACCAAACAGTCAACCAATTAGCGGATCACCGCGCCAGCTGGGACGATCTCTAGAGGCGGAGCACAGCCCCAGCCGACTGGTCTCCCAACATGTGTGGTACTGTAGAGTATGCCACTGTAATCGTATATAAGGGGTGATGATAGGACAAGCAAGAAAAAGGAAAGATCGCGATCGGTCCGTGGCTCGTTTGTTAGCTTACTGCTTCGGTATTTGATAATAGGAGTGTGTGCCTAGAGTTGATCGGAGAATCTACAGAACACGACCGATCAAAGCAGCCGACCGCTAGAATTCTCCTCCAGACGGCAGCTGAATTCGATCTATCTAGCAAGTGACGAAAATCCAGCCTCCGTCGGAACTCGGAGGCGCCTGACTGACTGAACCCTAGTACCTCCCGGTCAGAGGCACCTTAGTACATCAGTTGACGCTTTGTGGTCGATGATTCTGTACTTGGGATGGAAGTGAAAGAAAAATAACGTATGTTTAAAATTCCCAAATATAAATATTACGCTTCCCAGTTGAAAGAGCAGCTACACTTCCGACACATCCATGGATGCTACGACCCTGCTGGTACTGTATCGTCTGAAAATAACGTTTTCTCATGGGACATGGAACTCGGAGGGACCTAACTGACTGAACCCTAGTACCTCCCGATCAGAGGCACCTTAGTACATCAGTTGACGCTTTGAGTTCGATGATTCTGTACTTGGGATGGAAGTGACAGAAAAATAATGTGTGTATAAAATTCGCAAATATAAATATTATGCTTCCCATCTGAAAGAGCAGCGGCTATTCCAACACATACATGGATGCCAAACCCCTGGTGGTACCGTGTCATCTGAAAATAACTTTTTGTCATGGGTCATTCTATGTAAGTTTCCAGTACTTCCTGCTCGAGCGTTCGGTTCGCGTGTGCGCAGGGGGGCGGCGGCGTGGGCGGCGGCTGGTCGGGGCCGGGGCCGGGGCCGCTGCAGGACGACCCGGTGGAGGACCTGGTGTTCCTGCTGTCGGCGCTGCTGGAGCAGGCCAAGGAGCAGGCGCTGGGCGAGGCGCTGGCGCTGGCGCGGGG